TAGCAGTGAGACACAGAAGCCAGAGGGCTGCTAACTGATTGCATCACAAACTCTAATAACTACAGTAACTTAAAGACTCAACTCACTTTCAAAGGTCCTTAGGTATAATTTTTTTCTCCCATCATTATATGAAACTAGAGGCACAAAATTAGTGTGGGGGGAGGGGTGTGTGTATCCCTCAGTCCAGCCTGTACCCTCTCCAATCTGGGACCCCTTGAACGATGTCTGACTTTCAATTTATGAATCCAAGACTGCTGGCTCCCAACTGCTCGCCTGCCTGCCTGCCAGGCTGATCACCCCCTAACCACTCCCCTGTCAGACTGATTGCCCCAAACTACCCTCTCCTGCTGGCCTGGTCACCCCCAACTGCCTTCCCCTGTAGACCTGGTTGCCCCAAACTGCCCTCCTTTGCAGACTTGGTTCCCCCCAACTTCCCTCCATTGCAGGACTGTTTCTCCCCCTCCCCCCAACTTCCCTCTACTGCAGGCCTGGTCACCCTCAACTGCCCTTCTCTGCTCTCCTGGTCACCTCTAACCTCTCTCCCCTGCATGCCTGATTGCTCCCGACTGCCCTCCCTTTCAGGCCTGGTCCCTCCCAACTGCCTTCCCCTGTCCATCTTTGATCACATGGGGGCAGCCATCTTGTGTGTTGGAGTGACAGTTAATTGGCATATTATCTCTTTATTATATAGGATCAGTGAACATATAGGACCTTCTTTTATTTATTCATTCATAAAGGAATATTTAGTGCATGTCAGCTATGTATCAGGGACTCTTTTAATTGCTATATACACAGCAGGAACAAAATGACAAAAATCCCTGCACTCACAGGACTTACATTTTAGTGTAAGAGATAGACAATAAAAACATTTTAGAAAGTGTAGTATGTTAGATGTGACAAATACTATGGAGAAATGAAGAAGGAATGGGGACTTTAAGGCAAATACTTTAAGAAGAGACAAAAAAGGTCATTATGTAATGAAAAAGGGTCAGTTTAATGAGAAGATACAACTTTTGTAAATATTTATGCATTCAACATAGGAACACTTAAATATGTAAAACAAATGTTAACAGACCTGAAGGAGGAAAATAGACAGCATTAGAATAATATTAGGGGCCTACAATATCTCACTTTGAACAATGACTAGATCACCCAGGAAATATTGAACTTATACTACACATGAGACCAGATGGAGTTAACAGATATTTACTAAACATTTTATCCAACAATAGAAAGATACACATGCTTCTTAAGTTCATATGGGTCATTCTTTAGGATATATTATATATTAGGCTACAAAGCAGTATTAATAAATTTAAGAAGATTTAAATTATATTAAAAATCTGACCATAATAGTATGAAACTAAAAACCAAGTACAAAAAGAGAACTGAAAAATTTACAAATATGTGGAGTTTAACAAAATACTGAACAACTTATGGGTCAAAGAAGAAATCAAAAGGGGAATTCAAAAATATATTGAGACAAGTAAAAATGAAAACAGAACATACCATAATTCATGGAATGCAGAAAAAGCATTTATAAGAGAAAATTTCATAGTAATAAATGCCTATATTAATAAAAAAGAAAGAACTCAAAAACAACTTAATGTACTATCTCAAGGAAGTATAAAATAAAAACAACTAACCCTAAAGTTAGTAGAAGGAAGGAAAGATAAAAATCAGAGTGAACATTAATGAAATACAGACTAGAAATACAATAGAAAAGATTGATAAAACTAAGAGCTATTTTTGAAAAGGTAAACAAAATATACAAACCTTTAGCTCTACTTATCAAGAAAAAAAAAAGGACTCAAATAAGTAAAATTATAAACGAAAGAGGTGACATTACAAGTAATAATACACAAATACAAAGGATCATAAAGACTATCATGAACAATTATATGCCCCCAAATTGGACAACCTAGAAGAAATGAAAGCATTTCTATAAATATACAATCAACAAAGACTAAATTATGAAGAATAGAAAATGTGAACAATTACAAGAAAGAAGAATGAATTAGTAATAATAATAATAATTTAAAAAGCCTTCAACAAACAAAATTCCTACCTGGGTTGGCTTCACTGGTGAATTCTACCGAACATTTTTTTTTCAATCCTCACTTGAGGATATTTTTCCTACTGATTTCTTAGAAAGAGTGGAAGAGAGAGGAAAAGACAGAGAGAAATATCTATATGAGAGAAACACATCAATTGGTTGCTTCCTGCATGCTCCCCGACCAGGGCTGGGAGGATCCTGCAATCATGCACTTGATAGGAATAAAACCTGGGACCCTTTGTTCTGCAGGCCAATACTCTATTCACTGAGCTAAACCAAGTAGGTCAATTATACCAAACATTTAAAGAATTAATAACACTCTTTTCAAACTCGCCAGAAAAATAGAAGAGAAGGGAATACTTCCTAACTCATTTTATGAGGGCAGCATTATCCTGATATGAAAACCAGTCAAGGGTACTGCAAGAAAAGAAAATTACCAGCCAATATTTCCAAAGAACATAGACACAAAATCCTCAACAAAATATTAACAAGCTGAATTTAATAATACATTAAAGTATCATATACCATGATCAAGTGAGATTTATTCCAGGGATGCAAGGATGATTCAATATAGTACTAAGAAAATTAAGCATAAGTTTCATATAATCATTTCAATAGATACAGGAAAACTATTTGGGAAAATTCACATTATTTTTTAAAATGTTCTACATAAAATCAATGTAGAAGATACATCTATCTACACTAATAAAAGAGAAAAATGCTAATTGACCGCACCTTCACTATGTCCACAGCCAATCAGAGTGAGTATGCAAATTAACCCAACAAAGATGGAGTTAATTTGCATACGCTGAGGGAGGGAAGAGTGAAGACTGAAGACAGCATAGAAAAAAGAGGGAGAGAAAGGGGAAAGTAAGGCAGCTGCCAGAGGGAAAGCGTGAGCAGGGTGGGCGGTGGTGGTGGGTGGGGCAGGCAGGATGGGCAGCAGAATCTTCCTGCAAAGGGCCCCTAGTATATATATAAAAGTCCAGCAACCATTATGTTGGAATACCAGACTGACCAGTCACAATGACACACACTGACCACCAGAGGCAGATGCTCAACACAGGAGCTGCCCCACCAGCTGTCAGTGTGCTCCCACAGAGGGACTGCCACTCAGCCAGAAGCTGGGCTTTCAGCTAGAGAGTGCAGCAGTTGTGGTGGGAGCCACTCCTGCCTCTGCAGTATCCCTAAGGAGCAGCAAGCCAAGCAGTAAGGAGCAGGTGAGCAGTAAGTAGTGGCAAGGAGCAAGTAGAAAGGAGCAAGCGGGCAGGTGGTTAGGAGCAAGCCAGTGGGCAGTTAGGAGGGAGGGTTCCCGGATTGCTAGAGGGATGTCTGACTACTGGTTTATATCCCAATGCTGGTTTAAGTCTGATCAAGCCTAAACCAGCAGTCGGACATCCCTCAAGAGGAATTACAGGAGGGCGTAGGCTGGACTGAGGGACCCTCCCTCCACACCCCCATGCACAAATTTCATGCATCAGGCCTCTAGTAATAAAATAAAGGCTATATATGACAAACCCACAGCTAACATCATATTCAATAGTGAAAAGCTGAAAGCTTTTCCTCTAACATCAGGAACAAGATTTCAATGCAATCCCTATGAAACTCCAGTGGCACTTTTTTTTTTTTAAATAAAAGAAAAAGAAAACCAGCCTAGAATTTGTATGGAACTACAAAAGACCATGAATATTTAGAAACAATCTTGAGGAAGAAAAACATAGCTGGAGGCATCACACTACCTAATTTCAAGCTATATTACAATGCTATAGTAATCAAAACAGTATGATATTTGAATAAAAACAGTCATAGAGATCAATAGAAGAAAATAAAGAGATCAGAAACAAACCTATTTATTTATGGGTCATTAGTTTACAACAGAGGAGTCAAGAGTATGCAGTGGAGAAAGGATAGTCTCTTTGATAAATATTGGTAGACAGCCAAATGCAAAAGAATGAAACTTATTCCTCTCTTAAACCAAATACAAAACTCAACTCAAAATGGATTAAAGATTTAAATATAAGACCTGAAACCATAAAACTTCTAAAAAAACAACAACAAACATAGCAGGTAAGCTCCTTGACATTGATCTTGGAATTGATTTTTTGGATTTGATACCACAGACAAAGGAAGCAAATCAAAAATAAATGAATGGGACTACAGCAAACTAAAAAGCTTTGCATAGCAAAGGAAACCATCAATAAAATTAAAAGGCAACATGTGAGTTGGAGAAAATATTTGCTAACTAATCACATATTTGATAAGGGGTTAATATCCCAAAATATACAAAGAACTCATCAATTCAATAGAAAGAAAGAAAGAAAGAAAGAAAGAAAGAAAGAAAGAAAGAAAGAAAGAAAGAAAAAAAGGAAAAGAGAAAGAAAGAAAGGAAGGAGGGAAGGAAGGAAGGAAGGAAGGAAGGAAGGAAGGAAGAAAGAAAGAAAGAAAGAAAGAAAGAAAGAAAGAAAGAAAGAAAGAAAGAAAGAAAATAAAGAAAAGAGAAAGAAAGGAAGGAAGGAAGGAAGGAAGGAAGGAAGGAAGGAAGGAAGGAAGGAAGGAAGAAAGGAAGAAAGAAAGAAAGAAAGAAAGAAAGAAAGAAAGAAAGAAAGAAAGCAAGCAATTGAAAATGAGCAGGAGAACTGGATAGATATTTTTTTTCTTTTGTCCACATCCACACAACCCCCTCAACCCCTTCCCTCTGGTCATCATCACACAGTTATCTATGTCTATGGATTATGCTTATGCCCTTTGGCTAATCCTTTCATATTCTTTCACCAAAATCTCCCTTCCTCCCTTCCCTCTAACAGCTGTCAGTCCCTTCCAGGTATCCAGACCTCTGTTTTTTGTTCATAAATTTATTTTGTTCATTAGATTCCACATATAAGTGAGATCATATGGTATTTGTCTGACTGGCTTATTTCACTTAACATAATAATCTTCAGGTCAGTTCATGCTGTTGCAAAAGTAAGATTTCCTTATTTTTTATAGTTGCATAGTATTCCCTTGTGTAAATGTATCACAGATTTTTAATCCACTCACATAGTGATGGGCACTTGGTCTGTTTCCAGATGTTTGATATTTTAAATAACACTGATATGAACATATGGGTGCATACATTCTTTCTGATTGGTGTTTGGAGATTTTAAGGATATTTTACCAGAAGTGGGATTACTGGGCTAAAAGTCAGTTCTATTTTAAGTTTTTTGAGGAACCTCCATACTCTTTACTATACAGTGGCTGTACCAGTCTTCAATCCCACCAACAGTAGTCAAGATTTCCCTTTTCTGGACATCTTTGCCATCACTTATTGATGGTAGCCATTCTTGCTAGTGTGAGGTGATATCTCATTGTAGTTTTAATTTGCATCTCTCTGATGATCAGTGACTTTGTAAATTTTTTCATATGTCCCTTGGCCATCTATATGTCATCTTTTGAGAAGTGTCTTTTTAGGTCCTTTGCCATTTTTTAATTGAATTGTCTTCCTTTTGTTAAGTTGTATGAATTTCTTATATATTTTGGATATTAACCCTTTATCAGATGTGCCATTTCCAAATATGTTCTCCCATAAAGTGGGCTGACTTTTTGTTTTATTGATTGTTTCTTTTGCTGTGCAAAATATTTTTATTTTGATGTAGTCCCATTTGTTTACTTTTTCCTTAGTTTCTTTTGTCTTAGGTGATGAATCAGTAAACATATTGCTATGAGAGATGTCATAGATTTTGATGCCTATAGATACTTCTAGGATTTTTTATGGCTTCACAACTTATATTTAAATCTTTTATCTATTTTGAGTTTATTCTTGTGTATGGTGTAAATTGGTGGTCAGGTTTCATTTTTTTTTCTTTTGCATGTAATTGTCCAATTTTCCCAACACCATTTATTGAAGACACTGTCAGCAATGTGGGAATAGAGGAATCCTACTTCAACATAATAAAGGCTTTCTATGACAAAGCTACAGCCACACTCAATGGGCAAAACCTAAAATCATTTCCCCTAAGAACAGGAACAAGACAGGGATGTCCACTTTCACCACTCTTATTGAACATAGTACTGGAAGTCTTAGCCACAGCGATCAGACAAGAAGAAATAAAGGCATCACAATTGGAAAGGAGGAAATAAAACTGTCATTATTCTCAGATGACATGCTATTGAACATAGAAAACCCTATTTACCAAAAAAACTATTAGATTCAATAAAGGAATTTGACAATATAGCAGGATACAAAATCAATAACCAAAAATCACAGGCTTTTTTGTACACCAATAATAAAGTCTCAGAAAGAGAAACTAAACAAACAATCCCATTTACCATTGCAAAAAAAAAATTAAAGTACTTAGGAATGAACTTAATCAAGGAGGCAAAGACCTATACTTAGAAAACTACAGGACATTGCAAAAAGAGATAGGAGAAGATATAAACAAGTAGATGAATATACCATATTCATGGATTGGTAGAATCAACATCATTAAAATGTCCATACTACCCAAGGCAATCTACAGATTCAATGAAATCCCTAATAAAATACCAATGGCATATTTCACAGAACTAGACCAAATACTCCAAAAATTTATATGGACTCAACATACCTCATATAGCTGTGCAATCTTGAGAAAGAAGAACAAAGTTGGAGGAATCACAATACTATATTTCAGGTTATAATGCAAAGCAACTGCCCTCAAAACAGCCTGGTACTGGCACAAGAACAGTCAGATAGATCAATAGAGCAGAACAGAGAGCCCAGAAATCAATCCAGTCCTATATGGTTAATTAATATTTGGCAAAGGAGGCAAGAGCCTACAACGGAATCAAGGTTGCTTTTTAAAGCGAGAACTGTGATAAGCAGAATAAGAATAAGGAGAATTTTAAGAGATACTACGACCACCTGGCTCAGTTGGTTCAAGCATTGTTGTGTGCACTGAAAGTTTACAGGTTCAATTACTGGTCATGGCACATATCCAGGTTGTGGTTGGATCCCTAGTGAGGGTGTGTACAGCAGGCAACTGATCAATGTTTCTCTCTCACATCAATGTTTCTCTCTCTCTCTCTACTTTCATCTCTCTCTTAAATCAATAAAAACATATTCTTTACCATCTTCTAACATTTCATACGTTCCCAGTACTCCTTAAGAGGAGAATGAAGATCATTTGAGTAAAAAAAATTAGTCTCTAAGTGCCTTTGCTTTCTATAAAACAGGGTCTGTAAAGGGCTTGATGAGCTCTCAAATCATCAAAATAAAGAAAAGAAATATTTTATTTATAAGAATTTTTATTATTTCATTATACTTTCTTCAAGGAAATTTTGATAAAAACACATGGAATAAAACCAGATTTATCTTTCCTTATACTGAGGTGGCTCTTTATATGATTACATCACATTTTTGCTATCTTTAATCTTTGTGTCAGTAGACCTGGTCTAAAAGACTGCAAACATTTTTCTGGGGTGCAGGAAAAGTAAACTGGCAAGGGATTCTGGCAAACTAGGGAGTGCTTGTTGCAATGGAAAACAAACAAGTCCCAAGTGGGCAGATCTTCTGAGTTTTCAAGTTGAAAAATTGGATTTTTATATGATGTCTTCCAAATTTTGTATACTGGCAACTAATGCAAACTTTTAAAACAACACTATGTATGTCAAATTAAAATTTTATGCAGGCAAATTACCACCTGTGATATTTACATAATAACAACAATTCAATATTTGCATAAGAAAATAATAACAAGGAAATAAAGTAAAGAATAAACTTATATTGTTAACAGCTGAAATTTGAAGACAACTCAAAACAAGTACTTTGGCCACATTCATATTGCATTGGTATTATGTGCATGGACAAATATAATACACTTATTAGTAAAAAAAGATGTTTGTCTACCCCTTATACTCTAGTTGAAATTTACCAGTATTTCTAACAATACAGTACAATAGTGTTTCTCTTCCATGGTTTGGTGCTAACGAAGTTGATAGCTTAAGTCTTTCAGATTGGAATATCAATTTTTTAAATCTTTCCAGTTGTGAAGTAGTTTTAATACTGCTATTTATGGGGCAATAAAGTTCAATAAAGATTATTTTTGGGGCCATGATTATAATGGTGATTAACACGCAAATATATTAATAGTATACATTAGGGAAAATTTTTAATAGATCCAACATAAATGAATCTAAGACAATATTTTGTACAAATTGATGAAGATAAATGTTTTGTAGTAACACTTCTACAAAATTTATCTTCAACAAACATTTGACTATATTACTACATTTTAGAAGTATAAAAAGAATTCTATCCTGTTAATAGCAGTCACAGGAAATGCTATTTTTTTTTATGCCACGAACTGGTGCTTAATATTATCTAGATATATGACACTTTACAAATCACTTTGAATTTAATAGGTTATTTAGAGAATGGAGAAGTCCAATGAATAAATGAATGAAGTGCTTCAAATGATCAGTAAGTTAAGATACTTGTTCTAATTTCAAAAGCTAAAGTAGGATAAACATATTTAATTTATTTTCTTATAAATGTTTAATATTCTGCAGGTTACTTATATTTGAAGAGAGGAAACACTGACTACATTTTTGGGATTGATAAGGGAAAGAAATTAATATCATTTGGAGTTTGTTTCATTCTTTTTTTTAATGTAAATTCTTTTTAAAAAAATATATTTTATTGATATTTTACAGAGAGGAAGGGAGAGAGATAGAGAGACAGAAACATCTATGAGAGAGAAACATCGACCAGCTGCCTCCTGCACACGCCCCACCGGGGATGCGCCCGCAACCAAGTTACATGCCCTTGACCGGAATTGAACCCAGGACCTTTCAGTCCGCAGACCGAAGCTCTACCACTGAGCCAAACCGGTTTCAGCTTAAATGTAAATTCTTTATTGTTTAAAGTATTGCATAAGTCTCCTTCCCCCACATTGACCACTCCCCAGCCTCTCACACACACAGCACATTCCCTCACCCCAACCCCTCTCTGTGTCCATTGGTTAGGCTCATATGCATGCATACAATCCTTTGGTTGACCTCTTACCTCTTCATCCCCTGCTTTCCCTCATAAATTGGACAGTCTGTTCAATGCTTCTATGACTTTGGCTCTATTTCTGTTCATCAGTTTATATTCATTATATTCCAAAAATGATGGAGATCATGTGATACTTATCTTACTCTGTTTGGCTTATTTCTCTTAGCATAATGCTCTCTAGTTCCATCCATGTTGTTGCAAATGGTAAAAGTTACTTTTTTACAGTAGCATAGTATTCCATTGTGTAGATGTACCATAGCTTTCAAATCCACTTGTCTGCTGATGGGCACTCAGGTTGTTTCCAAATCTTAGCTATTGTAAATTGTGCTTCTATGAAAATAGGGGTGCATATATCTTTTCTGATTGGTGTTTCTGTTTTCTTGAGATGTATTCCTAGAAGTGAAATTGCTGGCTCAAATAGAAGTTTAATTTTTTAATTTTTTGAGGAAACTCCATGCTGTTTTCCACAGTAGGTACATCAGTCTGCATTCCCACCAGCAGTGCACAAGAGTTCCTTTTTCTCCACATCCTTGCTAGCACTTGTTGTTTGTTGATTTGTTAGTAATAGCCATTCTGACAGGTGTGAAGTGATACCTCATTGTTGTTTTGATTTGCATCCCTTGGATGATTAGTGACTTTAGGCACATTTTCATATGTCTCTTGGCCTTCCTTATGTCCTCTTTCAGGAAGTATCTATTTAGGTTCATTGCCCATTTTTTGATTGGGTTGTTTATCTTCCTTTTGTTAAGTTGTATGAGTTCCCTGTATATGTTGGAGATTAAAACCTTTTCAGTGATAACATTGGCAAATGTGTTCTCTCATGCAGTGGGCTTTCTTGTTGTTTTGCTGATGGTTGCTTTTGCTGTACAGAAGCTTTATCCTACATAATAAAAGAGTAATATGCAAATTAAACATCGCTCCATGACACCCATCAGCCATGCCCATCAACCACGCCCACCAGCCAATCAGAGAAAATATGCAAATAAACCCAACCAAGATGGCTGGAGCCACAGAAAGCAGGAGGGAGGCTTGGGTTTCTCAGGCAATGGAATAAGCCAAGCTTTCCACCTGCCCTAGCTGGCCTAAGCTTCGACTCAAGGCTACAAAATTTTAATTATAGAAGGTAAACAAATCTAAACAGAAATGGTGGCAGCCATGGAGTGAGCAGGAGGCTTGGTTCTGCTCAAGGGTTACAAAGTTTCAATTTAGAAGATAAAGAAATTCCAGATACCAGGGCCTCCACTTGGGTCGCCAGGGGGTGTAGCTGGCCTACAAACTACCACAGGCCCCTTGCTCAGGTCGTCTCATGGCAGATTGACCTTCACTCCAACACACGATAGCTGCCCCATGTGGTCAAAGATCCTGTTCCCATTTGGACACAAGTTGGCCACCACAGGATGGCCAGCAGGGGAGGGGAGTTCAGAGGCACCAGGCCTGCAAGGGAGGGCAGTTGAGAGGAGCCAGGCCTGCAAGAAAGGGGAGTTGGAGGGGATCAACTCTGCAGGGGAGGGCAGTTATGGGTGACCAGGCTGGCAGAGGATGGAAGCTGGGGGCAAACAGGCTGGCAGTGGAGCAGTTAGACTCAATCAGGCTGGCATGGGAGTGGTTAGGGGGTGATCAGGCTGGCAGGCAGAAGCGGTTTGGGGAAATCAGGAAGGCAAGCAGGCAAGCAGTTGGGAGCCAGCAGTCCTGAATTGTGAGAAGGATGTCCACCTGCCAGTTTAGGCCTGATCCCACCAATTGGAGAGAGGGTGCAGGCTGGGCTGAAGGACACCTCCCTCCCCCAGCCCTGTGCATGAATTTTATGTACCAGGCCTGTAGTATTTTGATAGTCCCATTTATTTATTTTCTCCTTAGTTTCCATTGCCCTAGGAGCTGTATCAGTAAAAATATTATTAAGACATATGTATGATATTTTGCTGCCTATGGCTCCTATAGGATTTTTACCGTTTTGCATCTTACATTTAAGTCCTTTTTCCATTTTGAGTTTACTTTTGTGTATGGTGTAAGTTGGTGGCTTAGTTTCATTTTTTGGCTTGTATCTGTTTAATTTTCCCAACACAATTTATTGAAGAAACTGTCTTGATTCCCATGTATGCTCTTGCATCCTTTGGCAAATATTAATTGAGCATAAAGGCTTGGGTAGACTTCTAGGTTCTCTGTTCTGTTCCATTGTGCCAGTACCAGGCACTTTTGAGGACAGTGGATTTGTACATAGCTTATATCTATTATTGTGATCCCTGCAACATTGTTCTTTTTTCTCAAGATAGCTGCAGCTATTAGGAGTCCTTTGTATTCTACATGAATTTTTGGAGAGTTTGTTCTAGGTCTTTGAAGTATGCCATTGGTATTTTAATGGGGATTGCATTTAATTTATAGATTTCTTTGAATAGTATGGACATTTTAATGATGTTGAATCTTCCAATCCATTAACATTGTATATTCTTCCATTTGTTTATCTCTTCCTCTAGCTGTTTTTTCAGTGTCCTGTAATTTTCTGAGTACAGGTCCTTTACCTCCTTGGTTAAACTTTTTCCTAGATTTCTTAATTTTTTTTTTTTTTTTTTTTTTTTTTTGTGCAATGTTAAATGGATTTTTTTGGTTTTGTTTTGTTTCTCTTTCTGTGAATTCATTACTGATATATACAAAAAGCCATAGATTTCTGGGTGTTAATTTTGTATCCTGTTACATTGCCAAATTCATTTATTAATTCTAGTAGTTTTTTGGTGGAGTCTTTAGGGTTTGCAATGTACAATATCATGTCATTTGTAAATAATGAAAGTTTTGGGTCTTCTTTTTCAATTTGGATGCCTTTGATTTCTTCTTCTTGTCTGATCACTATGGCTAGCACTTCCAGTACTGTTGAACAGGAGTGATGAGAGTGGGTATCCCTGTTTTGTTCTTATTCTTAGGGGAAATGGTTTTAGATATTTCCTGTTGAGTATGATGATGCTAGCTGTAGTTTGTCATATAATATAAGGCTTTTATTATGTTGAGGTATGATCCCTCTATTCCCATTCTGCTGTAAGTTTTTATCAGGAAAGGGTGTTGAGTTTTGCATCAATTGATATGATTATGTTATTTTTGTCTTTGTTTATGTGATATCACATTTATTGATTTGTGGATATTGTACCAGTCTTGCATCTCTGAAATATATAAATCCCACTTGGTCATAGTGTATGATCTTTCTAATGTAATGCTGGATCTAATTTGCTAGAATTTTATTGAGGATTTTAGCAACTGTGTTCATCAGGGATATGGCCTATAATTCTCTTTCTTTGTGGTGTCTTCATATGGTTTTGGTATTAGGATAATGTTGGCTTCATAGAATGAGCATTGAAGTGTTCCTTCTTCTTGAATGTTTTTGGAATAGTCTGAGTAAAATAGGCCTTAGTTCTTCTTTGAATGTTTGGTAAATCTCTCCTGTGAAGCCATCTTGCCCCAGGCTTTTGTTTGCTGGAAGCTTTTTGATGACTGCTTTGATTTTCTCCCTAATTATCAGCCTGTTGAGATTTTTTTTTTTAATTCTTTTTTATTGAGTTTTGGAAGGCCGTATTTTTCTAAGAATATGTACATTTCCTCTAGGTTGTTTAGTTTTTTGTAATAGAGTTGTTCAGTTTGTTTGTTTATTTATTTATTTATTTATTTATTTATTTATTTATTTTACAATCTTTTATATTTCTGTGGGGCCAGTTAGTTCGCCTCTTTCATTTCTGATTTTGTTTATTTGGGTCCTTTCTTTTTTATTCTCGATGAGTTTGGCTATAGTTTCATCAATCTTGTCTGTTTTTTAAAAAAACCAGCTCTTGGTTTCATTGATGTTTTGTATTTTTTTTTTTCTCTATGTCATTTATTTCTGCTCTGATCTTTATTATCTCCTTCCTTCTGGTCACACTGGGCTTTTCTTGTTGCTCTCTTTCTAATTCTTTAAGTTGTAGAGCTGGATAAGTTATTAGCATTTTTTCTAGTGTGTGTGTGTGTGTGTGTGTGTGTGTGTGTGTGTGTTTTAGGTTGGCCTGTAGAGTTATCAACTTCCCTCTCAAGACTGCTTTCACTATGTCCCTTATGTTTTGGATTGTTGTATTATCATGGTTATTTTTTTTCCAGGATGTTTTTAATTTCTTCTTTGATCTCTTTGGTAACCCTATCATTGTTTGATAGCATGCTATTAAGACTCAAACCGTTTGATTTTTAAAATTGTAGTTTATTTCTAATATTATGCCATTGTTGTCCAAGAAAATGCTTGATATGATTTCAATCTTCTTGAATTTGGAGAGACTTTGCCTGTAAGCCAATATGTGGTCTATCTTTGAAAATGACTCATGTGCACTTGAGAAGAACGTATATTCCATGGCTTTGGGGTGAAATGTTCTGAAGATGTCAATTAAGTCCATGTGATCTAGTGAGTCATTTAGGATTGATGTTTATTTGCTATTTGTTTTGTTTTTTTTGTTTTGTTTTGTTTTGTTTTGTCTAGAGGATTTATCCAGTGATGTCAGTGGGATATTAAAGTCTCCTACTATAATTGCATTGCTGTGAATCACAGGAGTTTTTATGTATTTGGTTACTCCTCCATTGGGTGCATATATGTTTACCAGAGTTATATATTCTTGATCAATGTATTCCTTTAGTATTATGAAATGGCCTTCCTTATCTCTTGTATGGCCTTCACTCTGAGGTCTATTTTGTCAGATATAAGTATTACTACCCCAGCTTTTATTTTTTTAAATTTCCATTTGCCTGAAAGGTATTTTTTTCCATCCTTTCATTTTCAATCTGTGTGAGTCTCTTGTTCTGAGGTGGGTCTCTTGTAGACAGCATATATATGGATCTTGTTTTCTTACCCATTCAGCCACTTGATGTCTTTTGATTGGAGCATTTAGGCCATTTACTTTTAAAGTTATTATTGATATATATTTTTGTAGCCATTTTTATTTTTTGTGCCTGTGCTCCTTCTTCCTCCCTCCCACTTCCTTCTTTTTACAACAGTCTCTCTAGCCTTTCTTGCATTGTTGACTTGGTAGTGATAATCTTCCTTAGCCTTTTTTTTTTTTTTTTTTTTTTTTTTTTTTTTTTTTTTTTTTTTTTTTTTTTTTTTTTTTTTTTTTTTTTTTTTTTTTGTGAAGCTCCTTATTTCTCCTTCAATTTTGAATGATAGTCTTTCTGGATAGAGTATTCCTGGATTCAGTCCCTTGCTTTGCATCACTTTGAATTCTTCCTCCCATTCCTTTCTGGCCTCAGGTATTTATATTGGAAATAATTTCATAATCTAATGGGAGCTCCCTCGTGGATAATGTTCTGTCTCTCTCTTGCAACCTTTAGGATATTCCCTTTTTTTTTTTTATTAATGTTTTGCATTATAATTACAATGTGTCTTGGTGTGAGGCTTTTGTTGTTTCTCATGTTTGGGACTCTCTGTGCTTGTGTGACTTTTTTCTTCCCCAAATTGGGGTAGTTTATGGACATTATTTTTCAAATAGGTTTTCTAAGCCTTGCTCTTCTTGTCATTCTGGAACCCCTATTATATATATGTTGCTTCATTTCATGGTGTCAGAAAGCTCTCTCAGGCTCTCTTTCTGTCTTTTTTTTTTTCTTCTTTCTCCAATTGCAGTTCAGATTGTGTGTGTTTTGCTTCCCTGTCTTCTAATTTCCTAATTCAGTCCTCCACTTCTAGTCTAGAGTTAAAAGCTCCATGTTGGTTTCTTTTTTTATTCTAGCTATGTCACTCTTTATTTCCTCCTTATTTTTTCATAGGTTGTTGATTTTCTCTTTCATCTGGTTTATGGACTGTATGACCCTTATTGGGAATTTTTTTTTCTGACATGTCACATGCCTCTGTTTCACTTATTTTTCTTTTCTGGTGATTCCTCCTTTTCTTTTCTTTGGGGATTTTTCTTTTGCCTCTGCATTTTTGCTCTCACCAAAAGATTTAGGTGTTGAGTAATGTGGGGCGGGTGGCTACAGTGGTGGGCTTGGTGGCAGGTCATGCAGTCATGTGTGGCAGTTGTTCCTCATATGGTCACAGGTGGTGTCTGCTCTTTGGGTGGTTGTGGGTGGTGGCTGCTTATCAGGTGATTGTGGGTCAGCTGCTTTCTGCATGGTGTATGTTTATGGTGTAGCCATTCATTGTGTAGTCACCAGAAGTGGCTGCTCCTTGAGGGTTTCAGGGCAGTTGTTCTACATGTGGTTGTGGGTGGTGGCTGCTCCTCTGGCAGGCACTGGTGGTGGTTGCTCATGAGGTGGCTCCTCCTCAGTGGTTGCAGGTAGTAGCTTCTCCTTGCATGGTCATAGGGCAGCTGCTCCTTGCATGATTGTGGGTGGTGGTTGCTTGTGGGTAGAACTGCTCCTCTGGTGTTCATCGGTGGTAGCTGCTCATGTGGCTCCTGAAGCTGTTGTGGTTCCAGGGGCTGCTACATAAAGCTTGGATATTTGCACATGATTGCTGAGCCTAGGGCTGTTGTGTAAGGTTTGGCTGTTCATGTGCATGCCTCGGGTTATTGTGCTTGGGGCTAAGGTGTCTGGCTTGGGGGGATGGGAGTGCCCTCTAGAACTCACAGGAGCCCTCAGCTGGGGAGACTAGAGTCCTGGTGTCTATGGATCAGCAGCCGAGGCAGTAGCTTTAGATCAGATCCTGGAGTAGCTATAGGATCCTGGGTGGTGTCTGAGAGCACCCTGGGTGGAGGTGAGGCTGGGCTCCCAGTCACAACAGCTATCCCCTTCAAGATGGTGTGGTCTCTGCAGCAGAGCTGGCCATTCTGGGAGAGATTATAGCAGTAGCAGATGCTGCGTAGCTAGGTGAGCCTGCTCTCCTAGCCCCCAAATGTCTCGTGAAATCTAGCTGTCACACACACACACACACACACACACACACACACACACACAAATACACACCACATCCATACACTTCCCTTTCACTCCCTCACTTACACTCTTTTCCTCACTATTGTCCTGCAGGCTGCCATCTTGGAATCTCTGTTTCATTCTTGGTTTTTGTCTTTTATCTCCTTCTTACAGTTAACCTGGTTCATTAAGTAATTATTGGAAAAAGTTTTAACCTGATTCACAAAGAACTGTTTTAGTATTATATCCTTATGGCAAATATAATTTATATTTGTATTATCTTGTCATAGAGAATGTACAAAATAGCCCTAATTAAAGTAGAAAAAAACTAAGATTACACAGGTTTGCTTGGTAAGCAGTAGGAATAATAAGCCTCAGTTTTCTCAAATATATATTTGGACTTTTACCCTTTTCAATGTAAAAGTATTTTACTTTAATAAATTGAAATTTATATAATGTTGGTAAATATTTTAGAAATATTTTGCTTGCTTTGAATATGTGTTCAAAGAAAAACTGTCTAGCCTGCAATATTATTTTGAAATGTTTCTAAAGCATACTTCAGCCTATCACCCATGCCAAATATAGTGGATTCTTACCTATTTGTTTCCATATCACCCTAGAACTGTCCATCTCTTATTTATTAAGGATGTGACTGTTAACTAAACCCTTTTTGCCTGTATTTATTTATGTTAATCTTTATGACCCTTTCTCACCCTTCTCTTCCACATTCTTATCTCAGCTCAATGTGAAGATGCCACCTACCCTCTCAATTCAGTAGCCCTTCTTATGAAGAACCTTTCGTATTATTTCTTCCACTAAATTCATATTTTCAGATAACCTCATTATTAAGCCTACCTTCTCAAAATGCAACTGTCCTGTATATAAAATCTTTTAGGGGTCTTATTCTTTGCTCCTGTGTTTCCTCATGACAAATCACTTGGTTCACTTAAAATGTTCATTTCACCCACCCAAGCCTTTGAGTTGAGGAGACAAATATTATACTTTTTTAAATTGAATTTATTTAAACAATACAACAAAATTTAATCAACAATATAGTTGCCGTTGTTTTCTACTACTTGTGCCCAACGTTCAGGAAGCATTTTAATCCCTCTGTTGTAAAATTCTTGTGATTTTGATGCAAAAAATTTGGTCAATGCATTTTTGAGGCATTCTTCATTATTAAATTTTTTTCCAAGAAGAAAGTTTTGCAAAGAACGAAACAAATGGTAATCGGAAGGGGCAATATCAGGAGAATATGCAGGTTGAGGGAGAACTTCCCATTCCAACTGGCGCAGTTTTTCAGCAGTGATTCTTGCAGTATGCGGTCGTGCGCTATCGTGGTGAAGAATTACGCCCTTCCGATTAATCAGCGCGGGTTCTTTTTCTCTTAAAGCTTGGGCTAACCTTTCCAATTGGGCACTATACACTGCTCTTGTAATGGTTTGGTTAGATGGTAAAAGTTCATAATGAAGAATTCCTTTAAAATTTCACCAAACACACAACATCACTTTTTTCGCATGCAAGTCAGGTTTTGGCATGGGCTGCGGAGCCTCATTTTTGTCCAACCATTGAGGCCGCCTTTTCAAATTAACATACAGCACCCATTTTTCATCTCCGGTAACAATTTGCTCTAAAAACGGCAAACGGTTTTGACGAGAGAGGAGCGAACTGCAAATTGTGACTCTTTGATTACGGTTGTTGTCGGTCAACTCATGAGGAACCCATTTTCCAAACTTTTGGACTTTGCTAAGTGCACGCAATTGATTGGAAATTGTTTTTTGTGAACAATTTAAAGTTGTCGCAAGCTCTTGTTGGGTAATTTGAGGATTTTGCACCAAAAGAGCTTGAAGAGCTTCTTGATCAAAATTGGACACAGGGCCTCGACCACTCTTGTCATCTAACAAAAAATTTCCCTCGCGAAATTTCTCAAACCAACGCTGGCATTTTCTGGCGCTAACTGCATCTTGACCAAGAGCACTACAGATGTTTTTTGCAGCCTCACTTGCTTTTCTTCCTTATTGGAACTCGTAAAGCATGCAGTGCCGAATATGCTCTTCATCCGCCATCTTCTTAGCCCTAGTTTGCAACAAAAACCAAACCAAACACAAACTTTTTCAAGCAAAACTTGTTAATTGCACTTCACACATTCTGTAGATACCACGTGTTTGAAGGTTATGTCAATACAAGTCAACACCAAGCAAGATTTTAAACGAATGTTTAAAAACGACATTAAGTATTACTAGACCCGATATGTGGAAGTTAAACAACATTCTGTTAGGGAACTAAAGGGTTTCATTGGCCTTCCTTTATCAAAGCCCAATCAAATGTGAATAGGAACTTGCAACCAAGGTTTATTTATTTTATTTAAAAAAAATATATATATTTTATTGATTTTTCACAGAGAGGAAGAGAGAGTGATAGAAAGCTAGAAACATCAATGAAAGAGAAACATCAATCAGCTGTCTCTTGCACAGCCCCCCACTGGGGAAGTGCCTGCAACCAAGATACATGCCCATGGCCAGAATCGAACCTGAGACCCTTCATTCCGCAGGCCGATGCTCTATCCACTGAGCCAAAACAGTTTCGGCACTAAGGTTTATTTTTAAGGAAATGATACTACCTTGGAGTCAAAGACCTGGCTCTCTGATGGCTTCCAAGGGAAGGGTGATATAGGTAAAAAATCACCAATCACGGTAGAGTTAGGGTCATGGTTTCTACTCACTGGTCAGTGCTAGGTAAGAAGTAGTCCACCATTGTATTAGGTCTTGATGTCAGCCATTGAGTTGCTTTGACTGGTTTTCCAAGGATGTGGTCTATGGGGCTGTTCCAGTTTTCTCGATCTGGAACAGAAACTGATGCCTAGATGTTATCTTTAGTTTGAGTGAAACTCTGTCTCTGTGGACAATAGACCCCAGGCTTTGTTTTTAAGATTGTTTAATTGTCCTAAGGGTTTAATGATTAAAGGAGTGGAAATAAAGGGAGAAGGAAGCAGGTGAGTTAGGATACTGAAAGAGGCTAGTTTGAATCAATACAAAAGTAAAGAGAAAAGTCATATTAAAGAAATGAAGTTTCTACACATCACAGTGCTACCTCCAGAATCATATTTGTGAAGGAAATGGAAGTAGTCTTATAGTTCATCCTGAGAAGGGGCAGCAAGGAGTAGAGCAAATGAAAGTAATAAAATATTGATCTTTGCCTGGTGCTTCTGTGGCCCTCTACAACTCCGACACTGACTTCTAAATTAATTGGCAACTAATAATGAGATTTATTTAGAGTACCTGGGAAAAATCTGATTACTCCAAGGGAATTTTAGAGAGAGGTTAATCTACTCTCTGTTATATTGGAGAATGTGTTACTTTCCCCTTCTAGACTTGAGCAGTAGATCAAATTCAGTTTGATAGATAATAGTCTTACCTGACATTTCATCAATAAGATTTATTCATTCATTCTTTATTTTAAAATTATAATTTATAATATTTAATACAAAAGAATATAGGGAACATATATGAAAACTGTGAAGCATAATGGCAGCATATATACTCACACTTAAACTGATGGCCTTCCCACTAATTAGTGTTTCACCATGTGCTCCACTTATAAGCCAGAAGTGAGCAGTATTTCAATTTTTATTTTTATTATCTTCTTACCTTAAAAGTAATATTTGACCTCATCACCTTTTCTCTTAGAATCAAGTTACTGTCACAATAACATATTGTTTACATTTTATTGAGTTTGACAATTATATCTTATAATTTTATGTAGTCTGGGACTTTTTTTAAACACCCATATAATATTTCTCTAAGTCTTCCCTGTCCTTGTGTGTTAATTCATTATTTTTCAACTGCTGAACAATAGTCTATTGTGTAAGTAGAAAAAATCAATTTATCTATTTCCTGTCATTGGATATTTGGGGTGTTTCTAGTTTTTGT